TCTTATGCTTTCCGAGGTTTGATATTGAACGAAAAAAATTTCCACACTCGATGCACTGATAGGGTTTCTCCCCTGTGTGGATTATCTGATGTAGAAAAAGACTTTTCTTTAGAGCAAAACATTTCTCACAATCGTTACATTTATAAGGTTTTTCTCTTGTGTGCGTCTTTTGGTGTGTCCAAAGTGTGGAATGACTCCCAAATCGTTTCTCACATTCTGGGCATTCATGGGGTCTTTCCCCAGTGTGGATTTTCTGATGTTCCCGCAGGGATGATTTCCTGGAAAAACATTTCCCACATTCCAGACATTCATAAGGTCGCTCCCCAGTGTGGACTGTCTGATGTCGCTGCAGGACTGATTTCCTGGAAAAACATTTCCCACATTCTAGGCACGTTCTGCTTTCCTCCTCTGTGTGTGTTTTATGATGTTTGCAAAGTGATGAACTCCGAGTGAAACATTTTCCACACTCTAAGCATTTATAAGGTTTTATTTCCATGTGGATTTTCCCGTGGATTTTGAGACTTGTTTTTCGAACAAAAGATTTCCCACACTACAAACAGTAATAAGATTTTTATCCAGTGTGGATTTGTTGATGTTCAAGCATCTCTGAGTTCTGAGAAAAGCAAAGCCCACATTGCACACAATTGCAGGGGTTTCTCTTCAGTTGGGCTGTTCTGAGGCCTGGAAAAACACTGAGGCCTTCCTGAGGTCTCTTTCCCTGGTGGATACGCTAAGGAGCTCCGATGTCCCAGCCTTTAGCAAAATGCTTCCCACACTCTCCACATTTGTAGGGCTTCAGTCCGGGATGGCTCCGGAGATGTTTGGCAAAGCTCCACAACCACGAGACGAGTTTCCACACTTCAAACACAGATGGGATCTATTCCTGATGTCCAGCGTCCTGATAATCAAAAGGAGGGATTTGTGAGTTACGGCCCTCTCTAAGCAGTATACAGAATCAGCATATTGCCCCCCAACAATCTGGGTCCCCATTTTACTGATGTCGGAAGGATGGAAGACTGAGTCAACCTTGAGCCAGTGAGAATCGAACTGCTGGCAGTCGGCAGAATTAGCCTGCAATACTGCATTCTATGAAGCAGGCTAATTCTGCTTCATAGGCGTGAACTTAAATGGACTCCAGAAGATGGTAGAGGACAGGAAGACCTAGAGGAACGTTGTCCATTGGGTTGTGATGGGTCGGACACGACTTCGCAATTAACAACAACTGTATTCTAACCACTGCGCTATTTTCAGTGCCACTGTAACTTCGAACAGCCACTAAGCAAACTGTTGTAAGTCGAGGACTACCTGTATTTTAACACTTTCCCTTTTTTTGGTCATCAGGTTTTTGACACCTTGCTAGGCGACTGGTGGTACTCGAATATTGCCATATCTTAAAAGTGGAACAACCTGTGAAAAGGTTGAAAAGCCCTGGTATAGGATCTCCTGCTTGAGGAGCGGGTTGGACTACAAGATCTCCAAGATTACACCCCGCTCTATTCTGATTGATAAAACCCACCAAGGGGCTGCCACATTCTTTGACATTCTGACTAAATTATAGACCAGCAAAATGCTGTAGGCATAGTATACTTAGATTTCAGCAAGACATTCGACAACCTGTATCTTGGTAAGGTAGACAAATATGGGATAGACAGCATCACCACCAGATGGATTTGTAATGAGCTG